ATTACATACCTGTCAAAGTTTTTAGACAATCACTTAAATAATAATGTGGTAGCTGAGCTCCTTCAAACTATTAAAACTGGTGATTTTCATATGTCATGGACCATTTTTGACAAACCGGAGCGACTGTATCAATAGTATAAACGACAGGCAACACGGTCAAAGGTCGCAATAGACCAAACTATCTATCTCACTCGCTTTCACTTGAATATATACCGCCTCGCGGTCGCACCTACGGCAAGCTTGCAACTGCCTGCTAGTGGGGTGACATCTTTTGATAGTCTCACAAGTAACATATGAATTTCAGCTTTTACACTAACGAAAGTTTAACTCTAAATTTTAATTAAATAAGCTTCATGAGTGCCAGGCAGAGAGTTGAAAGGCAATGGATGAGGCCATTCTGAAAGAAGTATAAAATAACTGGGATCTATACTTCAGAGAACTTGAGTTACTATTTTAGACAAATTTGCTAGCTGTTACCTGCCAAAGTAACCACCAACCAGATTTCATAATCGCTGATTGTTTTTACCTCTGTTGGGAACATGCACAGAGAAACTTTCAGGTTTTATGAAATAACGAAGGTCTGGCCGTAGCGGGCCCTTACTCTATGAGATACAGTCTCCGACTTGGAAATTTTAGATAAGATAAAGGAGAAATATATCGACATCTGCTTGTGTGAAAATTCACCATGTTCGATCTCATCGATTGTAACTTGGATTCCTGACATGAACTTTTATTGCACCAGAATATGTGGAATGCAGTCTCCAAATTCCACAGTCAAAACATCATAAGATAAAAGGGAAACTGTCGAAAAGGTCTCCAGCTTTAAAAATTCTCCATTTCTGCAGCACAGTTTTATCGAATTTCGGACACGGGGCTTATACTTTTGACTTAAGTTGCACTTTCGGTGTCCGTGAATTTGTGAGATACAGTGTCCGAATCGAGAAATGCATTACAACGATAGAAGAGAAAATAGCGAAAAGGTCTGTTTCTTTGGTAATCTCTCATGATCAATCTAGGCCCATTCTGGGTTACACAATGCTATAACTTAGAGAAGTGACTTAGTTGGTAGTTTATGTACACTACAATGTGTAAGGTTCAGTCCGAATTGAATAATGTAGATAAGAATAGAAGAGATAATACTGATATCTGTTTAGCTGGAAGTCTTTATGTTCAGTCTAAGCGATTTTGAAGCTGCAACTTCTGTGCACCGGAATACGTGAGATGAAGTCATCAAGTTGGGAAATGTAGATAAGATATAAGAGAAAATTTCACAAGTTATTTGATTTTCCTTTATAGCTGCAACACAGTCTCACGGGATTTCGGACAGAGATCGATACGACTGAGATCTATGACTTAAGTTGACCTTCGGTTTACAGGAATCTGTGAGAAGCTGTCTCCGAAATGATAAATGTAGGTTACGAGAAAAGAGAGAATATCGAAGCGATGTATGTCTTTAGTAAGCCATTATCACTTTAACACAGGAATATTCAAATTCACCGACTTTTGCATACCAGAATGTTGTAACTATATATTTGACTTAGTTGCACTTTCTGCATAGCAGAAGATGTGAGACACAGTCTTCAAACCAGAGGAAAACAATGTCAAATTGAGAGAAGGAAAACATTTGGCGTATGATATCCAGCTTCACCGACAGTTGCGACCCAGGATTGTGCATTCATATGAATAATTTTAGTTGCCACTTTTCTGTACCACATTCTGAGATTCACGGTCTTCAAATTATGAATTATAGAACAACTGTGGACAAATATGTTTCTTTTGTGATTCTTCATTGCTGTTATACATAGTCTAACCGACTTTTGCGTACCAGAATGTTGTAACTAGATATTTGACTTAGTTGCACTTTCTGTATAGCAGAAGATGTGAGACACAATCTTCAAACCAGAGGAAGAAAATGTAAAATTGGAAGAAAGAAAACGCTTTGCGTATGAGATCCAGCTTCACCGACTGTTCCGACCCAGGATTGTGCATTTATATGAATAATTTTAGTTGCCACTTTTGTGTACCACATTCTGAGATTCACGTTCTTCAAATTATGAATTATAGAACAACTGTGGACAAATATGTTTCTTTTGTGATTCTTCATTGCTGTTATACATAGTCTAACAGACTTTTGCGCACCAGAATGTTGTAACCAGATATTTGACTTAGTTGCACTTTCTGGATAGCAGAAGATGTGAGACACAGTCTTCAAACCAGAGGAAAACAATGTCAAATTGATAAAAAGAAAACGCTTTGCGTATGAGATCCAGCTTCACCGACTGTTGCGACCCAGGATTGTGCATTTATATGAATAATTCTAGTTGCCACTTTTGTGTACCATATTCTGTGATTCACGGTCTTCAAATTATGAATTATAGATCATACTGTGGACAAATATGTTTCTTTTGTGATCCTTCACTGCTGTTATACCTAGTCTAACCGACTTTTGCATATCAGAATGTTGTAACTAGATATTTGACTTAGCTGCACTTTCTGTATAGCAGAAGATGTGAGACACAATCTTCAAACCAGAAGAAAAAAATGTAAAATTGGAAGAAAGAAAACATTTTGCTTATGATATCCAGCTTTACCGACTGTTGCGACCCAGGATTGTGCATTTATATGAATAATTTTAGTTGCCACTTTTGTGTACCATATTCTGTGATTCACGGTCTTCAAATTATGAATTATAGATCGTACTGTGGACAAATATGTTTCTTTTGTGATCCTTCACTGCTGTTATACCTAGTCTAACCGACTTTTGCATATCAGAATGTTGTAACTAGATATTTGACTTAGCTGCACTTTCTGTACAGCAGAAGATGTGAGACACAATCTTCAAACCAGAGGAAAAAAATGTAAAATTGGAAGAAAGAAAACATCTTGCTTATGATATCCAGCTTTAACGACTGTTGCTACCCAGGATTGTGCATTTATATGAATAATTTTAGTTGCCACTTTTGTGTACCATATTCTGTGATTCACGGTCTTCAAATTATGAATTATAGATCGTACTGTGGACAAATATGTTTCTTTTGTGATCATTCACTGCTGTTATACCTAGTCTAACCGACTTTTGCATATCAGAATGTTGTAACTAGATATTTGACTTAGTTGCACTTTCTGTATAGCAGAAGATGTGAGACACAATCTTCAAACCAGAGGAAAAAAATGTAAAATTGGAAGAAAGAAAACATTTTGCTTATGACATCCAGCTTCAACGACTGTTGCGACCCAGGATTGTGCATTTATATGAATAATTTTAGTTTCCACTTTTGTGTACCATATTCTGTGATTCACGGTCTTCAAATTATGAATTATAGATCATACTGTGGACAAATATGTTTCTTTTGTGATCCTTCACTGCTGTTATACCTAGTCTAACCGACTTTTGCATATCAGAATGTTGTAACTAGATATTTGACTTAGCTGCACTTTCTGTATAGCAGAAGATGTGAGACACAATCTTCAAACCAGAGGAAAAAAATGTAAAATTGGAAGAAAGAAAACATTTTGCTTATGATATCCAGCTTTACCGACTGTTGCGACCCAGGATTGTGCATTTATATGAATAATTTTAGTCGCCACTTTTGTGTACCATATTCTGTGATTCACGGTCTTCAAATTATGAATTATAGATCGTACTGTGGACAAATATGTTTCTTTTGTGATCCTTCACTGCTGTTATACCTAGTCTAACCGACTTTTGCATATCAGAATGTTGTAACTAGATATTTGACTTAGCTGCACTTTCTGTATAGCAGAAGATGTGAGACACAATCTTCAAACCAGAGGAAAAAAATGTAAAATTGGAAGAAAGAAAACATTTTGCTTATGATATCCAGCTTTACCGACTGTTGCGACCCAGGATTGTGCATTTATATGAATAATTTTAGTTGCCACTTTTGTGTACCATATTCTGTGATTCACGGTCTTCAAATTATGAATTATAGATCGTACTGTGGACAAATATGTTTCTTTTGTGATCCTTCACTGCTGTTATACCTAGTCTAACCGACTTTTGCATATCAGAATGTTGTAACTAGATATTTGACTTAGTTGCACTTTCTGTATAGCAGAAGATGTGAGACACAATCTTCAAACCAGAGGAAAAAAATGTAAAATTGGAAGAAAGAAAACATTTTGCTCATGATATCCAGCTTTACCGACTGTTGCGAGCCAGGATTGTGCATTTATATGAATAATTTTAGTTGCCACTTTTGTGTACCACATTCTGTGATTCACGGTCTTCAAATTATGAATTATAGATCGTACTGTGGACAAATATGTTTCTTTTGTGATCCTTCACTGCTGTTATACCTAGTCTAACCGACTTTTGCATATCAGAATGTTGTAACTAGATATTTGACTTAGTTGCACTTTCTGTATAGCAGAAGATGTGAGACACAATCTTCAAACCAGAGGAAAAAAATGTAAAATTGGAAGAAAGAAACATTTTGCTTATGACATCCAGCTTCAACGACTGTTGCGACCCAGGATTGTGCATTTATATGAATAATTTTAGTTGCCACTTTTGTGTGCCATATTCTGTGATTCACGGTCTTCAAATTATGAATTATAGATCATACTGTGGACAAATATGTTTCTTTTGTGATTCTTCATTGCTGTTATACATAGTCTAACCCACTTTTGCGTACCAGAATGTTGTAACTAGATATTTGACTTAGTTGCACTTTCTGCATAGCAGAAGATGTGAAACACAGTCTTCAAACCAGAGGAAAACAATGTCAAATTGATAAGAAGAAAACGCTTTGCGTATGAGATCCAGCTTCACCGACTGTTGCGACCCAGGATTGTGCATTTATATGAATAATTTTAGTTTCCACTTTTGTGTACCATATTCTGTGATTCACGGTCTTCAAATTATGAATTATAGATCATACTGTGGACAAATATGTTTCTTTTGTGATCCTTCATTGCTGTTAAAACCTAGTCTAACCGACTTTTGCATATCAGAATGTTGTAACTAGATATTTGACTAGTTGCACTTTCTGCATAGCAGAAGATGTGAGACACAATCTTCAAACCAAAGGAAAAAAATGTAAAATTGGTTGAAAGAAAACATTTTGCGTATGATATCCAGCTTCACCCACTGTTGCGACCCAGGATTGTGCATTCATATGAATAATTTTAGTTGCCACTTTTGTGTACCACATTCTGTGACGCACAGAGACGGATATAACTATATATGAGGAAGTATTAGAATATAGATTGACGTTCATCTGTTCAGTCTCACTGATTTTGATACTGAGAACCCTGTCACTGGATGACCTGTTACAGCTTCTTGGTACCATACTCCGTGAGACACAGTCTTCGAACCCAAGAAACGGAATGACGTTATAGAGGAATGTTTCTCGTGACAACGATAGCCGCACCAGCTTATGATACCTAGTCTGATCGATTGTAGATACACAGTGTGATGTAACTTTATGAACAATTTTAGTTACACATTCTGTGCACTACAATCTGTCACACATAGTCTTCGAGCTGTAGACAACGATGGAAGAGGAAATACCGGAAGGGTACTTTTTTGTAATATTTTATCGTTGTTATACAAACATAAATGTTTTGGCTCCCCAATTTTGGTAAAGACGTTGTATCTAGATCTAGGACTTCAGTTGCAGCTTGTGTATATTAAAATTTTAGAGACATGGTCTCCGAACTGTCAGGAGAAAACATCGTTAGAAGATATTGCCGGCCCTCAGAGAGTGTCAACTATGTTCTAAATTTTAGGTACATAGGCTGCAATTACATGTGAAATTTTAGTGTACTCTGAAAATGGAAACAGCGTTAGAAGTAGTCAGTCTCACAGACTGTTTGTTGTCAATGTTTGAGCGATTTTTATTTTTCTTGTTTTTGACCTCTTTCTCTAACTGCCACTGGACCAATTTCAAAAAACTAGCCTTGATATTGTAGCAACATGTCTAAGAACTGTATTGGAATCCGAGCGGTTGTAAGATTAGTGGACAAACAGAGCGACGAAATAGAACGAAATGGTTTTTCGTGATCTACTATACATGTCATACGACTATAATATCCAAAATACATAATGTCTTATTTTAGGTTAAATTAGTGCTTGCAAAGCCGGTAGATCGGCAGGCTGGTGGGGGACAAACAAATATTTTTGTAAAAAAAATGATGAACTAAAATAAATATTGGAGAAGAATGAGAAAAAGCAGTAAATTTATTGAAACAAATGTAAAGCAGAGGGACCTTTTTGAAAAGCACTGGGTAATAGACCTTTCCGTAGTAGGCACATCTACAATATGTATGTTTAAATATAATATATAAAAAAATGATGAAAATTATTCTAGCTTACCGAAGTAGCCGCGCAGGCAGAAGCCTAAATCCCAGGACACCGCTCTGCTGTATTGTGATGAGGAAGGGGTGGCCGCCATATTGCAAGATGACATGATCAAGCCGTCGACACACAGACACGACGCCGTACAAAACAATTATTGTTATTCAAATAATACCAGCTAGGATTGTAAAAGTAAAATAAAAGCCGAAAAAAATACAGTCCACTTCTCTACCAACACTACATTTGATAATAAAAAGAACTGTTGAATTTATTTTGTTCTTCAATAATCCAAATACGACTTAACGTAAGTATTGACTTTGAATTTGTTAATTTAGTGACGCTATCTAACCTTAAAAATTAATTATCTAGTGGGGCAGGTTGTCTCAAATTAGCGGGGGCCTCTTGTCACATGTGACAGCCAGCCCTGACACTAGACGATTAGCATTGCACATCATTCTACGCAGTTATATAATGTATTTTTTTAATATTTTCAGGTTACATAAGCATGGTTCGAAATTTCAAAAGGAAGACTGAGAAGGGCAAAGCGCCGCCTGACGTACTTTTAAGAGCTGCTAGGTTTGTGAGATTAGGATCCTCAATAAGAAAAGCGGCAGCTGACTTCAATGTAAATTACCGTACTTTAGCAAGATACTGTAAGAAAATTCCAGAATCTGAATTACTTGATGATCGAGTTGTTGCGCCGTCAATTTCAGTTGGCTACATCAAAAATCATTTAGTATTTGAGCCTGAACTTGAAAATATCATCTAGTGGAATATGTCCTCAAAGCATCTGATATTTATTTTGGATTATCACCCAAGGAAGTACGTGGACTTGCATATGAATTTGCTAATGCTAATTCCTTTAAAATGCCGGAAAATTGGAACCACCATAAAATAGCTGGTCCTGAATGGTTTAGCGCGTTTCTAAAACGTCATCCTGTACTGTCTATTCGCAAACCGGAAGCAACTAGTTCAGCAAGAGCCAGTAGTTTCAATAAAACGAACGTCAACGCATTTTTTGATAATTTAGCTTCAGTTATGGAAAAACAAATTTGAGCCTCACGAAATCTGGAACATGGACGAAACTGGGATTACAACTGTCCAAAGACCCGACCGCGTTGTTGCCAGAAGAGGATTCAAACAGGTTGGTTCGATAGTTTCATCAGAAAGAGGAACTCTTGTTACCTTAGCAAGTGCAGTAGTTATTGGAAATTCCATACCTCCTTTTTTCATTTTTCCACGGGTACATTTCAAACCACATTTTTTAAATTCGGCGATGAAACTGTAAGTCTGATAAATATCAACACACAGGAAGCAATAGATTATCGTTTCTACATAGTGTTCCCAAAGGATAAACCATATTAGTTATGCACCAAATATGTGCATATAACGCTTCAGATCGAATAAAAAAAAGAATTACTGAAAATTGTGACAACTAGCCCCGGTCTCCCCTACTTATAAACAATTCAGTATCCGCCATTACAATACAATAATACTCGTACTTATGCATATGCCGAGCGACAACACCGAACTGGTTTGTTACCGCCGCCACCGCAGGTTAGGTCGCTTACTGATTAGACCCGTACAGGGCCGTATACTACGCTGTTCAATTTTCGTACGCCGGCGCGCATGACGTCACGCGGAGAGTGAGTATCATTTGGGTTGATAGGGATCACGTGCATATTTTCACCTACAGGCCAAACGGCTGCCCGGATTTTCACATATAAGGTGTCGTTGGATTCGTCTTAGCGGTCTGAGTGACACTAGCTACATTGAGATTTTATGAAAAACAAAATGGTGGATTTTAATAAAAGATTTCAACCTTGTAATTCCTACTTCATAGGCTACTACAGATCAAACAGCTTGATAAATTTTCACATTACCTATATTTTAGTATGTTCTGCGGAGCAGGATTAACCTGTTCATGTCATAATACTGTACTACATTCACCCTTATTCCACAGAACATCCTAAATACATGTAAGTGTGAAAATATACGCCACTCGAAAAGTATAAAAATGGAGTTATCTTCTTTTTGCAGTAAGGTGGTGGTATAACAATAAATGGAAATGACTTAGTCTAAGCAATATTTTTTTTCCATTTCCTTTTACGATTTTTCTGGTTTTTTTAACTTTTATTCAGTTCTTTGACCCTGAAGAACATCCTTGACCTGAAAAACAGTTTTTTAGCTTTTTCAAGGCACTCAATGTTGCTGCTCTTCAACAGAAATTCACCTATAAAATTCTGCTTTTTTGTCACTATTCCGTCCCCATTGAATGTAGTGAATACCTTGTTCAGCTTCTCAATTTGATTCATGAAAGTTGCTGAAGGTTTTGATAATCCACCCTCACTAAGATGGTCTTTAAATGAATAAGTTTCATTTGAGGAACTTTTCAAACTCTCATCCTGCAATTTATTGCAAACAAAGCCGGCTAAATTTTCCAGCATGTCATACTCGAGCTCATCTATTTCTTCCACTAAAACTTGCTCGGTATAGTCAACTGATACTTCAGGTGCATTCAGTTTATTCTCGTGAATGATGCTTTTAGTGGTTAGTGGAATGTATGGAGTACCCTCTGACTCTACGCTGCAATAGGTACTGTGAGTATGCGCCTTCGTTTCGTCCCAACATATATGACCTTATTCTATACTTAAACTTGTATGGTCATGAAGACCATCTTTTAGCCTAATTACTCCGAAAAAAATTTCTATCACATCTTGATTAAGACGTCTTGTTAACAGGTATTGGACGCTGAAGCGTCGTTTCAGGTCCTCTAGAGCATTTTCTAGCAAACCCTAGCGCTTTTTACATTGACTATGTCTTATCTTTTTGAAATCTTTTCGAATGTGCGTTTCTGGTACATTGGAGTAACCTTACCCCGAAATCGGTTTCCTGAATGTTTAATATGAATAGGATCTGACTTGGGCGTTTAGCGTTATTCTTGTCACGTGCTTTGGATAAGTTGTTTTCTGAATTTTCAATGAGTGCGGATAGGCGTGAGTTTGTTCCATTGAGTTTCGAAATGAGTTTCATAGATTTGTGAGTCATTTTCTTGTTTGGTGATACCATAAATTAGATAGAAGGGGGCGAATCTAGTAATAGAATGAATACGTTGGTTATAAATAAGCAATGCATCGGTAATTAAATCTGAAGTTAGTACAGTAGGCGATTTTAATTTTAAGATTCTTAGTTTTTCAGACAACGTAGAATGGAATCGTTCAATAGGCAAACAAGAAGAGGGGGTTGGCTGTACTACCAATATGCAATTTAATAGCATGGGCTAGACCAGGGCTGTCGAACATACGGCCCGCGAACCGCATGCGGCCCGCGAACTCCTTTCTTGCAGCCCGCTTCACGGGTCATGTATACATCACATGTATAAATTACTCTCAAATACCGAATATGCACAATTCTTACATTAATGATAAAATAGATTATCATGTGACGCCACTGGCGACCGATAGCAGGCCGCAGCGAATTTACTGAAAATTGGACCGATCTCTCGATCATCCCGGAAGCGGGACAGGCAGTTTTGTTCTAGTGCTAGTGCGTTTCAGTACACAGCAACTCTAAAGCCTTTTTAACTGAAATACTCCGTGAAATATGTCTTCACAGAAACGAAAAATAACGAACGAACATCGAGTTTATAATGACCGTTGGGAATCAGAATATTTAATCTCAAACAATAATAATAAACTTCAGTGCCTTGTTTGTATGCAAGTACTATCGGTTCCTAAAGAATATAATATGGAACGACATTACACTACGTTACACGAGAAAACGTTTCGGCAATATTCAGGGGACTCGAGGCTGGCTATCATAACGGAATACAAGAAAAAACTAAAACAACAAACAAGTTTTTTCAAAAAATCTGACTCTGATAACAAGTGCAGTATTGCCGCCTCTTACAAAATAGCGCTGGAAATTGCCAAAGCAAAAAAACCTTTTAGTGATGGAGTGCTTATCAAAAAGTGTGCAATAGAAATGGCGAAACAATTCAATGAATTAAAAGTTGCCAAAAAATTTGAAACAGTCTCAGTATCGCATCAAACAATTGCAGAACCATATCAATGAACATGTATCCAAAAAATTGCGTGACGTGGTTGAAAAATGTAAATATTTTTCGCCATGCCTAGATGAAAGCATTGATCTGTCTGACATTAGCCAGCTTGTAATTTTTATCCGAACTATTCAAGACGACTTCAGTGTAGCAGAGGAGATGCTTGACCTTATTCCTCTCCATGGTACAACCAAGGGTACAGATATTTTTGAAGCTGTGAATAAGTTGGTGTCAGACTACGGGGGATTTGATAAATGTTCCTGTATTGTCACTGATGGCGCCAGAGCTATGACAGGGACTGAAATTGGATTTGCAGGACTATTTAAACCAAACAGCATCAACTGTCCTATGATACATTGTATTGTTCACCAAGAGAGCTTATGTGGAAAATCTTTACGTCAAATAAATGTCTTGAAAGTGGCTGTTAAAATAACTAATATTGTTAGAGGGGGCAATCCTGCTTTGACTCACAGAAAGTTTCGTGATTTTTTGGCCGAAGTGGATGTTACATATGGGGACTTGTTACTTCACACCGATATTCGTTGGTTAAGCGCCGGAAAGTGTTTGCAACGATTTTTCGATCTACGCAAGGAAATTCCTATTTTCCTTAAAAATGAAGTGAAGTCCGACACTACGGAACTGGAAAATCAAATGGCAGATGCACAATTTTTAGCAGACCTTGCATTTTTAACAGACATGACATCTCACCTTAACGAATTGAAGTTGAAGCTACAAGGAAAACAGCAGAATATTGCCAACTTATTTGGACACATAAATGGGTTTAAGAATAAAATTCATTACAAAAAATTATTTTTCATTTTTTCCAAGTTGTAAAGAACATTTCGAATAAATGAAGGATTTTGAGGAAGTTTCATATTTACCTCATATAAAATACATTGACACAATTGCAGAAGAATTCAAAAATCGATTTAGTGACTTTAAAAAAATCGAAAGCGACATTTCAGTTTTCACTCAGCCACTAACAATTTCTGTTGAGAACGTAAGCAGAGCAGACCTTCAACTGTAATTGTGTGATTTGCAATCAGATCCTTTTTACCAAGGAAGAACTGAAACTGGCTTGGACTTTTTTAAGTTACTGCCAGGAGAACGATACCCCAACTTGCGAAACTTAGGACTTACAATGGGATCAATGATGGGAAGCACGTATCTTTGCGAAAGCAGCTTTTCCAACATGAAATTTATCAAGTCAAAGTATAGATGTTCCCTCTCTGATAAGTCACTTACTCAGTTACTTCGTTTATCAACAACAAATACTAATGTTAATATTGATGCATTAGTATTAGAAAACCAACATCCTCAAATGTCCCACTGATTTTTTTGTAATTTCATATTTTTTGAATAAATAAAAATAATAGAAAAACTGTTTTTGTATACCATATAGTATAGTATATACCTATTAAAACTCAGTAATAATGTTGTATAGAAATATTTTATAATGCGGCCCTCCAAACTGCATGTTTTTTGAAGTAACCCTTGGGCCAGATTAAGTTGGACAGCCCTGGGCTAGACAATAATCTTTTATTACGGCTGAATTTTATTCACCTGGATCAGCAGTGATTTCTCTCGGAAACTTAAGGTGGGAGAGAGGGTTTGAATTTTTTCAAAACCTCAATGCTGTTACGAGACTGAATTAGATATGCTTGACTATAACGACTAAAAGATTCAATTATAGTGAGAAAATGAAATTTATCTATTTTGTAAACATCGAGAAAGATATGTTCGAATGGACTTTTGGCTAAGAATGGGCCTTGTTGTTCAACAACTGGAGGGTGACGCTCGTATTTGCTTAAGAGACATAGATCACATCTATTAATGTAGTCGGTAATTAGGCGTCTAAGGTCAGGAGTGAAAATCATTTTTCTAAAATGATCGTGGGTTTCGCTGATTCCATTGTGCGTCTGGGAGTGATATAAAGAAATTTCAGTGAGGGCCTTATCTTTGTCTAAATACAGGAGCTTATATGCGGCTTTAGTTAAAGTGATTTGTTTGTTAAAAAATAATTGGTTAAAACGCGATTAAGTTCAACCATAATAGTATGCTCTGTGTAGAAGATCCGATAATGAGTATTGGTGTGTCAATAATATTTTAGCAAAACCATCAGGTGAGTATGTTCCCGTATCTGATACATCTGATAGTATTATTCGGGAGAGTCTTAACGTCGAATACCTTTTCATAAATTATGTCGATACGATGCTTAAAATGATAAAAGTTCTTATCTTCGGAAAATGTTATGTTTTTAACGGGATTTACAGGCGAAGAATAAAGCGTGTGCGTGGAACGCGCATAGGTAATATCATAGTTAGGTGTTTGAAGAATTGCTTGAAGTTCATCATCGCTGAGCGTCGGGTTTTCGGCGACATGCGGTAATGTAGATAAGAGATCGTCGCTGTCATCTACACGACTGAGCGCGTCGGCTACATAATTCCCTTTGCTTTTTCTGTATCTGATATCAAAATCTTATGCTCTAATTTCCAGCGGATTATGCGTTGATTAGGCTTTTTGAGTCCATAAAGCCAAACTAATGGTTTATGATCGGTTTCTATAATAAATTTATGTCCGAAAAGGTATGGACGGAAATGTTTACACGAGTCGATGATAGCTAGACATTCTTTTTCGATTGTACTGTAGTTACGTTCAGCACTACTGAGGGTTCTAGAATGAAATGAGACGGGCTTATTGTTTTTTTACAACACACTTCCTATAGCGACGTTACTGGTATCGGTAGTCAATACAAATTGTTTGGAAAAGTCTGGGTAAGATAAGATCGGTAAATTAGAAAGAGTTCGTTTAATGATATCGAAAGCTTGGAGATATTCATGATTATTGGGATTGATCTTCTTACCTTTACTTAAAAGTTTGGTAAATGGCTTGGATATTTTGGCAAAATCCTTTATGAACTTATGGTAGTACTTTGCTAAACCTGGAAAAGATTGAACTTCCTTAATAGTTTTCGGAATAAGGAAATGCTCTATAGCCTTTATTTTTTCTGGATTCGGCAAAATACCATTAGGAGTGATCATGTGGCCAAGGAAAGGCACATCTTTTCGTAAAAATTCAGTCTTATCGAGTTGAATACGAAGTTCGTACTTTCTGAGAGTCTGAAAAATTAGTTTAAGGTGATATATGTGTTCTTGAAGGGACTTTCAGAAAATGATAATATCATCTAAGTAGACGAACCAGAATTTACCTACGTAGGGAAGCTGAACGGAGTTCATCATCCGCATTCCTTAATCCGAACGGCATACGGATATACTCTAATACCCGTTCTCGATGGTAAAAGCAGTTTTGCCAACTGATTTGGGGTCCATCGGTATCTGGTGGAACCCTTGGGCGAGATCTAACGTGGCTTTGCCCAAATTTTCAAAAATTTCCTCGTTTCTGGGTTTTTTGTCCTCTATTGTAATTTCATTTAGCTTGCGGAAATAATGACCATACGGTACTTCTTTTTGCCGGAAGCATCAGGCTTATGTTTACGAGGGATGTCTTTTGAGTTTTGCATATGGAAATAGAACAACACGATAGGTAGTTTTAAATGACTTTATTGTTTTTCGAAGTATTCTCCACGAAGATTAATACACATCGGCATGCCTTCGAACCAATTTTCGAAGCACTTATTCCACTCGTTTGCTGGCAGATCCAAAACGGCATTTTTGAATGCGTCAACTGCTTCTTCTAGTGACTGGAACCTTTGACCACGCAGTCTGTTTTTAATTTTCGGGAAAGTAAAGAAATCGTTAGGATTTAGATCGGGACTATATGGAGGATGGTCCAATAATTCCACGTTTTCTTCCTGCCTTCCTACAGTAGCAGACATGGTGAGAAAGTAGACGTGCTGTGTGTTGCTCTGCGGAAAATCTGAAAAACCTCCATGTAATGTAAGTGGAATTAAATAATTTGGTTCTTCTGCTCTGAAAGGTTAGTGGACACTAAATCAATATGTCATTGACACGATATCAAATGACCGATGTTAAATTAATTATTATATTATTATAAAGCAAACCATTGAAGAATTGCTCAGTAATGATAAATTCTTAACGCTTATTTCTGATACAATCGAACAGAAACTGGGCATAAAGGAATCTCAACAAAAAATGGTCGAGCTAGAAAAACAAATAGTGGACCTGAGACATGCTAAGAATAAACTAGAGTGTGATTTGGAAAAATTTCAACAACATGCACGTCGGAAATCTTTTAGAATAGTTGGCATGAAGGAATCACATGGTACAAGTGGCCTGGAGCAGGTGCTTACCTTATGCGAAGATAACCTGAAAACTCGAGTTTTGGTAGAGAATATTGAAAATTGTTTTTGGTTAGGAAGAAAAAAGAACGAACAGCGTTCTGTCTTGTTTACTGTAAATTCTCATAACCTGAAAATGAAGCTTCTAAGAAACAGGAAGTTGCTGAAAGGTTCAGGAATAACTCTTACTGAAGATATGTCACCTGCTCGATATAACCTGTATCAAAAGGCCGTGCAGAAATGGGGTAAGCAGAAGACCTGGTTTTATAACGGAGAAATATGGGTGAACTCCTACAAAATCTAACCCGTACGTCCTGGAGTTCGTTCTGCGGGGCGGCCTTGGGCGCTGAACCGTATGCGACCGTGTAGGAGGGGCAACGGGGTGCCGGTCTTGCGGTGGACCGCCTCGATCAGTTTTTGAGGAGACCCGCCGGAAAGCCGGTAGCCCGGCCAATCGAATGATTCGATGAGCCACAGGTGTCTCGGATGTATATCTGGGACGCCTGCAGCTCAACGGTCATCATGGGCAATGGTACTTTACCCAACCCAAGGTGTTAAGCGATTCCGTGCCGAGGGGTGCGTGGCGGTGGGGATGCACCGTCTTAAACGGAGCCTCTGGGACACCGGGCGACCTCCCAGAGTATCCAGCCTTGCGTCCGTGTAGGGGCACCGCGGACGTCGACCACCACTTCCCCTATACTCGTGGGAACAATATGGAACCCAATAAAAATTATAAAAACCCCGAGGTCCCCCCTACGGGGGACTCCGAACATCCGGGTGGACCCTCAACAGGGGACCCCAAACATCCAGGCGGCCCCTCACCAAGGGACCCTGATCGTACTCTCACAGAGGAATCTGTCAGAAGCTTAGCGATAGAGCTTAGCGGAAAGGGTGGGCTCTCTACAAATTAAGAAGAAGTCTGGCCAGGTTCCGACAGGAAAAGGGCTCGGAAGCGGAGAGAGGCGGCCTGCGACGGGAAGCGGCAGAGGTCTGCCCGGTAGGACACCGGAAGGCATCCTTGCGGAAGAGGAGAAGCCTCGCACTGCGACGCATGCGCAAAACTAGCTATGCGCGAGCTTTCCCAAGCGGGTCTCAGGGTGGCTGTCGTGTCGACGGTTATCCTGGACTCACTTACCGCGTCAGGTGCGGTTCAGAGGCGGTCTGTGCTGATATGGCTCCAGATGAGGCGGCCTCCCAGGTACATCGACTGTACTCTCTCGAGGGCAGCCATCTTTGTCTGGAGTGCAATCACTAGAGCATGGTTGGAGCCCACGGGGGGATCGCGGCCGTGGGAAGCGCAATCGGAGCTTGGGACTTCCCAATACCACCGCGTGAGGCGGTCCCAACCCCATTTAAAAGCAAATCTATGTACTCACCAAATAGTAGAAGACTTGCGCAAGATGGATGAGTGCCTCATTCTCTCAATATGCAAATGTCGGCAGTTTGAGCAAATCTTTATTTGCATGAGCATGTGCCATTTCACATTACGTGCCTAACGGTCAGTTTTCTATTTTAAGTACTTGCGCCAATATCTCCACTATGAGGATGTATTGTTTTAGAGCTTAATCAATAATCTCAAAACACGAACTGAGTTTAATTTATATCATTAAAGGTGATACGACTTTAATACGTATCACTCACCCCCTTTCCATTTAAGATTTTGGGGGTGGTGTCACCCCCGCTTAGGGGCTGTACGTGCTAATGTGAATTTTTATCAAACCTGTGT